AAAATACCCTGGATGTTTCTATTATAAACTATGTATCAAATTTACGCAAAGGGAAGGCATGTAATAACAGAGAAATTTGCTTATGACACGAGAAAAATTACTCCCAGCAAACAATGCAAGTTGTTACTACATCATGTTATTGCATGCATAATTAATAGCCAGGTTTCTTTACAACTGATTACAGTTATTGCAAGATAAAGCAGCAGCACTTGACAAACACTTTTGGTGTATGATTACTAAGATGTTCTAAAGAAATTTCTCCCAAGGGACAGTCAACAGTTTACATGTTATTTCAACAGAAGATTTCATCAGTGCGACTCCAATATGGCTGCTATTACATCAGGTATTTGAAATGCTAAACAATTCAGCTCACACATAATGTTATAATATAATACACGCTGGAATTGTGTTAACAAATTTTGTGACCCAGAGACCTTCGTTTAGGATGAGATGACACATATGCAGATATTATTTTCATAGGGGCTCAACTACACAAGAAAGCAATCGTAATCGAGAAGTTTCAGTCGATTAACGTCAATTTAATAGCAGGAATATGCAGTTTTAGGCAGATATTTAAATATACCTTCTTCAGTTTTGTTGTTTGTGCATTATATCAATGTCACTTTTCCAATTTAACAAAATTTCATAAAATATGGAAAACATGTCTTTTCTTTCAATTCCTAAATTTATAATATCTTGGTATCCATATGTACTTTTGTAAAATGACTTTAGTGACAACATGATCTTGTTAACTGATTATAAAATTAATCCCTCTTTATGTCATAGGTACATACTCAGTAAAATGTGGCAACTCGTCCGTTGATACCTATGATAAAAGAGCCAGGCATCGTTGGCTGACAGCTACATACAGAATCATGGCTGAGCAAGCAGACACCTGTTACATACAGGTCAAGCATTAAAAATGCATCAAGATGTTCATGAGAAAAGGACATGCCAACAAGGAGTGACTAATGAGCTGTTTACATGCACCCAACCAAAGAAATTACAGTCTGGCAAAAGGTGTTGCAAAAATTTGTGTGAGACAATATACTGCAGTGAAATTTTTTTTTGCTGGTTGGTTGGATAGATCAGCAATAATATAATCATTATTTATTCAAGCAAATTTCTTGTAAATTACACTGCGTCCCTAAGAGCTGACTGGATCACAGTGGCCTAAAGCGGGAGGGTCATCACCTGCGTACACGAAGGAATTGAGTCACAAGCGACAATAATAACACACGCTAAAAATGCAAAGGCTCATGGGTGGAAGCTTGTTTGTAAACAATGACACACTATGGCCATCTGACGCATGCGCAGGTGACGACTCCCCTGCTTTAATGTTGGCCATATTAAGTTATTTTTGAACTTTCATGATTAATACTGTAAAATACTATTTGCATGCAATTTATTTTTCGCTATTTTCATTGAAGGAATGATTCAGTGAAAATAAAATTCAGTGAATATGCTTTTCTTTCCTATATTTTACATACAACTCATCAAAAATTAGTGAAAATAAACTCCATACAAATTTATTTTCAGGAAATATTTAATTCCAGCTGAAATAAAGTATTTTACATTATTATTTGCATTTTTTTTAAAATTAATTAAAACAATTCCCATTAACAGTATCAAATAGAAAGTACCAGGATATGTAACCTCTGAGAGGTCATACATTAAGGCATATTGTTATGAAAAACAAACACACACACACATACATACATACACACCAAGTATCAAAGCATTCAGGCTTGTAGTTTTCAAGAAGAAGTCGAAAAATCACTCGTATGATAAGCTCCGCTCGACAAGTCGACAACGGAGCTAAAAGATGGCTGTCCAATGAGAAGGGGTTAATGACCTCATGTCAACATAGATAATTGCAAATAATTACTTTTAATTACAATCTTGCTGGTAATGATAACAATTATATGATTATCAAGCAACAAATTAGCAAAAATTTGGACAGGCACAAGAATAATAACCTGGTGTATTTATAAACATATTTATAATCACATATTTTTAAACAATAATCCTGATCTCACAGAGCGGTATAAACATCGTAGGGAATTAACTGGTAGATGATATATTGAAATTTTTTTTATTTTAGGCATAATACCATATATTTTATTTGTAAATTCTTCAATACTAATAAATTTATGCTTCTTTTCAGGTGAGAAAAATGGTACAGTCCAAACAATGTAAAATGTTTTTTAAATGAGTTCTGTTAAACTATGGTGCTTTTTAACACATTAAAGTAATATGCATAATATAATCACTGCAACAGTTATGGGTATCCACAAGTTATTGGCATCAGAATTTTCTTGCCAATAGTCACCAAGTAGTTCGGTAGATTCGATTTGGAGTAAGTTTTCAGCATCTCAGGATGTTATCTAGACACCGAATCACACGTGAGATTCTCTGTTAGACTATCAATGATAGTTACGAAACCATTCAATGTAAAGCATTTGCCATTAACATTAGAATGAAGACCAGCTTTTGAGTTGTTTCCTGTATAGCCATTAGCCCTTACATCTGAATTTGTAGGATGACTACTTCACTCACATTGCCACTGTGAACCAGAGGCAGATCCAGGCATATGTCTACCCACACCAGTTATTAGTTTGTCAAAAAGTTGTACCAACAATTATATGAATTTCGCTGGAATGTACCAAAATTGGTAAAAAATTTTCAGAAATTATTTTGCATGACAAATATTCCAGTCTTGAGTGATACTTATGGGTGACAAAAGCTGGATCCGCCCCTGCAACTGAGCTAACTTCAAAAACCTCAAAAAGTTGCCCCCTACCCTGGCAAAGTGAACTCCTGACCCAACAGGAAGGGCGAAGCCACTGGAGGAGATTCAATTGGGATCATAGCAGTCACGAAAAATGCAGAACTTTGATTAAGATCCATAGGTACAAGCTTTTGAAAAATATTCTCCCAGATTTCATAGAGGCTTGAAAAGTGCAAACCGGGGCTAAAAACTTTTAAGAACAATCAGTGGATACATCAGTGAAAACCTGTTAACTCACATACACAAAAGTTACGCGAGTAACAAATACAAACTCTTCGACATGTCAAACGAAAACAAATCAACAGGTTATAGAGTTAGTGTTTTAAACACTTCACATTTCATCACGAGTGTATAAATGTATACTCACCAGTATGCCAAACAAACTGGACCCAGACATATGTACTTGCAGCGAAAAATAACCAATGGACTGGGATAAACAGTAAACAAATCATATCTGATGTAAACGCTATACAAATAAAGAACACAGAAAACGCCTGAAAAAAAAAAAAAAAAAAAAATTATTGATATGTGAAAAATGAACTGATGATGAATGATGGATTTTTTACAGCCGTTGATCCTCCGTAATAACATTAATCTTTTTCAGCTTATTGTCACAATTTAGGCAAGAGGCAAGAATAAAGTACTATAAAACCAATAATTTTCACTAACATTTAATTTTACTATTTTGATGTTTTGAGCATATTCAGTGTTTTAATTTCACGAATTTATCAAAGAATTAATTTTGCGAATTTTATCTTTCAGTTACGGGATTTCTATCCCATGCTATAATGTCAACAAACTCTTCAAAGATATTTTTTTTAATAAAAAAAAAGCAAAAAAAAAAAGCATTTTATATTTATTCCCTTCAATATAAAACTCTCTTTATGATTATTAGTTTCCTGTCAGTAGAAATTACAAGCTTTCCTGTAAAGCATGACAGGTGCAAAGACTGAAACCCAGGTGCATGTACTACAAATATACAGAAAATGACAATCAAAGAAAGCTTAGAAAGAACTCCCATGTGCTGAGAGTATTGGAGACACATTAAATATAATTCGAAATTACTTAGCTGAAAACTAATTATGCAAATCAGAAAATTAATATGACCAGATTTGAGTGTAAAACTAATGAGGTCTGCGCAATGTAACAGAACCAAAAAATTATGAATTATTATGCTTATTAGGGAATTAATATGAACAGATTTTTACCCCAAACTAATTAGGTTTGTACATTGTCCTAGAGCATCTTTGTACTAAGTTTCATTGAAATGGAATAATTAACACCGCGAAAACTCCAAAATTTCGACCCCTCTAAAAATTTGACCGCCTATTTATTTGCCGGGTTTCGGTGTTTTATTTACCTCCAAATTTTCGACTCCACTAAAAATTGCCGACTCATTCTTATTCGAAAATTGCGACCAGTTTTAGTTTTCCCCCAAACGAAAAAAAA